CTCTCTCTCTCTCTCTCTCTCTGTGCACATTAAATCTATTCTGAAATGTTCTTTATATGTATAGGATACCACACTTTAATGAATGTATACAAATAACAATTTTGACTTGTCTAAAATAATTATTTCATTTACTAAAACTGTCATTCCTCACGCTTACAGTTTTGGACGTTGAAGCTTTCGAACGTTTACTTGGCCCGTGTATGGAACTTATGAAACGTAATATCGACGATTACGAAGAACAACTAGTCAAAATTTTTGGCAGCAAAACCAACATCTCTGATATTCGATGAACTGTTTCTAGGCAGATCCACGTCGCCATACTGCTGTATTAAAGGACGCGACACTTTCGTACAGTATATAATATATAACAAGCACAAAAGAACTTGTACCACCTACTTCTGAATCTCATCCCGCGTATTTCGGGTATCATTTCGGAGTCAACTGTTTCGTATGACTGTTCACCTAGACGTATACCGATTAAGATTCGTCGATAATAGTTACCAAGTTTATACCTACGAGACACATTGAACAAAGCTGTAGGCTGCTCGATTATATGCGCGTATTTAACGTAACAACATGGTATTAGTGATTATTCTCTAAGACTGTATTGGATCAAAAAAAGAGTATTAGTACATTCTGTTACGCTCGATCGTTTGCGAAATAAATATCTTTATTTATTATTGCCCCAGTGAAAGACCGTAATATAACATTTTGAGCTAGAATATACAAGCATTATTATAGTATTTAACTTATCCCTGAAAGACTCAAGTTTATCTCAATGTATTTAATCTGTATGCTCACACACACACACACTTATACTCTCGTGCATTATCCATTTTTAACAGATCAGCGGCTACATTTATAAGACATAGGAGTCTAAAATATTCGAAATCGAATGCTCTTCTAACGCTACTCTCTGGCAAAAAAGATAGATTACAAGAAATGACCACATTAGTAATCGAATATTGACAAAAATCTTTTGCAAGATTTCTATGAAATACCTATATATATGCATATCACTCTTTTGGAGATAATGAAAGTAACATTGCCATTTTTAATGAAAATAAACAGAGAACTGTATAATATTCTTTGATACATCCATTAATGTAATATCTTGATAAAATATCAGATCAGACAATCAATATTTTATCTATAATTCGCGATAAATACTAAATATGCACTTCACGAATAAATATGCACATATATGTACACAAATATGCATCATATTCACATAGTGAAAGAATAATTTTTTAATTTATAATGTTATTTTACATAATTATTTATGATTAAATTAGTATATTACATACATAGTAATAGATTTGAATAAAGATCAATTATTTTCTAATAAAAGAAAAGTAAATTCTAAAAAGAATTGTATATATTTCTTTATTAATAGAAATTGATAAATGCCAGAGTCGTATATAAATGCATTCTATTTCGAATATAGGATATTCTCAAAAGATGCATAGAAAATCCAGATCTAAAGGAGCCTTAAAATTGACTTAAATGCGCGGATATAATAATGTAAAACAAATATGTACATTACGTGTGTACATGTACAAAGTAATTTAAAAGAAAATATGTATAGCAATATACATGTGAATGTAAAATGAGAAAAAAGAGGTATAACATTTTCTAATTACTTTGTATTTGCATGTATCAGATTGGGTGAATTTTAGCATAAAAAAATAACCGCGTGTTTAAGCCAACGTTAAATTCAAGTGTGTCTTGCTGATAAATAATGGTAACTTCAGGATTGATTATGAAAATCCGTCAACTTATTTTTATTACATGTGTACAAGACACGTTATGTATATGACGATATATATCTATCATGGTGATAAAAGTCGAAAATCGATTCAATTATAGTATGGACAAGTGCGAATGCTAGTCACTTTTTATGACCGTGTTTTTGTCACACTTTCTTCTGACAATTATATCGGTTGAAAAAAGAAAGGATACTTTTTATTATGGTAAACCGTGTATTTACTATATGACTGAATCTCGCGATGAAATTTTTTAAATAATATCACAATCGTGTGAGGGAGAAAAGGGAGACTAGTACGAAAGTAAAACAAAGAGAGGATAGCATAAGAATTGTTAATCAATTATTTATATAGGATTTATCAATTATTTACATATGTATATTGACATCTTGCATGGCCTTAATTTTTTTTTTTCCTATTGCTTATTCTCTTATAAACAGCTTAATCAAATCTCATGGAATTCTTCAAGTAAATAGTTAAATTGATTCAATGAATATCAATTCAATGAATATTATATGACGCGTAATTTGAAGATATTCACACTTTAAAACGTTAATAATTGAAAAAAATACAGTTTGTTCGAAATATAATATCTTTAGTCTTCCACTGAATCTCCAGGCTGTGATATTATTTTCGACTGAGTGTTTCATTCCTTTCTTGTAATCTCTTACAAGAAAAATAAAAGAATATCGTTATTATCGTTATCGAATTTATGAGAGATCAAACTGGTGAATTTATTTTAAATGATTAAACCAACGTATTTCTATATGTAAGTGAAACAAAAATTTTAATGGATTAACAAAAGTGACTTGACTGTTGGACACGAGAAACTCTACACGTACCGCTAAAAGAAACAAAAAAAAAGAGCTGATTCGCATACTGAATAAACTGAATACGCATAAGTACTTACTTGTGTTAGATTACATTCGCTAAATTAAGTGTGAAATATTGAAGTTAGAATCTGTCCAATTCGCATTGCTGTATGTATCTATCATGAGATTTATCTATGTTGCGTGTTGTTGTTTATGTATGAACGTGAATGTGTTTGTATGTATGTAAAATATGATGATCGAGCCAGTAATTAATTAATTTATGTTGTTACTATTAATAGTTGCTATTAATAGTTTACACTCTCCAATAGTTGTATAATTCATGTTATCGTCATTAAAGGCAATACTTATACCGACATATGTCCTACGGATAAATATTGTAACAGTAGTATGCCTTATTGTGCCACTGGATCTTCGTGTTTCTGCTTTCAAAGGAAGAAAGATTTATGAAAAATCGAAGATACAGATTTTGTTGTATATCCGCAATCTACACTGCTGGATAAAACGATTAGACACTTTAGTAAATTTTCATAAATGCCTTTGTAAGTCAATAACGTTAGTGAATTAAGAGTTTACAATTTCACATGGGCGACAAGACATTGATAAGTATTACTTATAAGATAACTAAGTAACTTACTTAAAGATTATTCATAATAATTTCATAATATTTTGTTCATAATAATTACTAATTAAGAAAAAGTATTAGAATTTTATTTTTGTTTAGAACGTTTTTCAAGAAAATGTGTAATTAAAGTCCTATTGTTTTTCTTTCAGTTGCAAATTGATTACAAATATTATTTGTTAAAATATTATTTGTACTTTTTTATTGTCATATATTTAATATGAACTGTTCTTGTAATTTTCACAGTGTTCTGTCATTATGTCCAGCAATGTATTATTATATATCCACGTGTTATATCGATGGGCATTCAATTCTCTTTCCTGCAGATTTTCAAACAATTTAGATAGCGTAAAATTTCGAGGGATGATTTCGAATATTAGTACAAATTTGAAATTTCAGTAAATCTTCAATATCTCTTGAAAAACTAGTCTTAAGAGACCTTTAAAATTCTTGAAATTGATTTTATATTTTACAATATTTAAACAAAGTTTTAATAAATACAAACATTTCAAGATTTTTAAAAAGGGACTTTTAAAGTTATCTTTCACTAGTCTTTCAAGAACTTTTTATTTTAAATAATATTCGAAATAATTCGAAACTTTTGTAATGACTCAAAGCACTTGTTTCAGTCCATCATTAGCTACATCGCAATTCTAGTCCAGAGCGATATGCGACATAGAGAAATGTTTCCGACCAAATAGCATGTATCGAATCAGAGAGATAACGAATTGAGGGCGGTAATATATCCGTAATGGCTAATAATGTGCCAGTAATACTTAGTTTTCACGTTTAACTTATGTTTTTCCTTGTGCAACGATATTCCTAATATTTTTAATTTATCAAGTATATATTATTAGTAGCTATTATGTATGTATTAGCAATACGTCAATGTGCACGTTACAGTGCACTTTACATCGGACCAATTTCAAGGAGCAATTGAGCTTGCGACTATTTTTTTTTACTTTTACTTGTATTCCTTTTTTCTATATATCTTCAGTATATTCTTCGCCGATGTAAAAATTCGCTGCACACTTCAAAATGTTATGCGCACTAATAACTTTACTACCCCTGCTGGGAGTCACGATAATTTTAAATATTATTTTCATGTATGTGACTATAAAACTTTATATAAAATTAAAGCCCTATACTTGTAGCTCGAGAAATATCTGCGTAAAGTAAATTTTTAAGTAATTCTCAATTCCTTGCATTAATGCATTTAAGGAAAGCAATACGAGTCTCAAACTCGATTGCGTGCTGACAATCGTCCGGTGTAATCATAAGAATATTTATATTATTAACAAGTATCTTAATATTTTTTACCTTTATTTTTTTCTTTTAAAAATCTCTAATGTAAATATCAAAATTTCTTCGTTTTTTTATTCACATTGCACTTCTTTCTTCATAAATGGATACTGATAATATTAATGTTTCAAGAAAGAGATTATGCTTTTAAATTCCTTCGACAGCATACCAGTTAATGCGTCGCAGATGCTTATGTGCAATTAGAATAAAATTAAAAAAAGAGAAAAGTACACTTCCTATATGCGATTAAATAAAAACAATCGGACAAAATTGGGACATTTGAGGAGTGTGTACGTTTCTCTCTTCGTGTGTGCCCATTATGCCCCATTTTCCATTATGTCTTCGAACCAAAGTATGATAAAGAGGAACCTCTCTGATTGTATGTGAATGTTGAATAAATTTAGAATATATAATTAGCCTTAAAATGTGTCTATGTACACGTTGCTTGAAACGTATTATATAACATATGTATAGCGGATCAGAATGGTTCTCCTTGTGTTCCATTAGTAATGTAAGTCTTTTAGTAAATTTGTCGGATGAGTTATACGTGCCGTTTAAAGCGAACCGTATCAAAGTTTACTGAAAAAAAAAAGGGATTTTTCATTTTGTAATCCGTTCGACGACGTATCCGCCTGATGTGTCAAAATTCTTCGTATCTTTGAAAAAAGAGGAACGACAAAAAGATAAAAGTGACACACATTTAGATACGTATAGATACGTAATCGGTTTTGACGAATAATCGATATATCTGTATACATATCGCTTATTTTATATTTTAATAAGACTTCGCAAAGTGTTTCTTTTAAACGTGCGTATATAGATCCATCATTATTATCCGTACCCTATATGTTTGATGACATTGTTTGGAGTGCGGCTCTCTCCTCCTGTACATTTAATAGATTTTATACGACACATGCGCATACGTAGGAACGTTTTTAGATATAACAAACTGTTGTAAATTACAAAATAATACGTACTTAACGCCCCTTCGTTTCGCAATGTGTTATAGTATTGTATAACGAAATGCGTATATATGCATATATGTATGTATGTGTATATACTTTGTCTATACACGCATATATATATAGTATATTGTACACAATTGTTAGATATATGTAGCATATATATCTAAAGTGTATAACATATACACGTTGGGTATGCATGCAAATATACGAATATATATATATATATTATATATAAAATATCAATATATATGTCGACACTCGTTTCCAGCTGGTCTGATCGGGTATCATTCTAATAATTATAATGTGTTGACCTTGCAGCGATATGATTCGAAGTAATCTAGGGTCGAATGCGCAATCATACGACCCGATTTATTGTACGATACGATGCAGATGTATGTCCATATATAATTTGTTAATATATATATATCGAGAAGTAAATAGATTTTACTAAAGATTTCTGTATGCTGAGCAGCAGGTTTATCTATATATAATAGATAGGTGTAAACCGAGGTAATATGATATTCGAAAGACGAGAGCAAATTGAACGAGTATTTGTGCGCACGCTTTGTAATAATACAAATTTGTAAGACGCGCGTCACATGTCGTCTAGTTTTTTTCTTTTTCCGATAATACAAAAAACTTCATTTATACAAAGAAAACGAATCTCGTCGCAGACGCTTATAGTCTTGTGATACTCGTGACAATTATGCTTACATTATAATAGATCAAGATAGACCATTTGATAATTGAAAATCAGAAAACGCCTTTGTATGCTTATACCCCAGCGATATTTAGCAACTAATTATGTTTCTCATTAAATTGTATATCTCATTTGACGATTTGTATAAGCAAGTGACGATTTTAGACATGCTTTTATTTTCATATAACACTCGTTAAAAAAAACCAAAAGATTCGAATCTTCTAAAAAATGATCTTAATTTAAATTATCAATTACTACGCCGAATTCTTTCTTGTTGAATATTTAATAGTTTATATTTTCTAAATGTTTCTCTGCTAGTAACATCACAAAAGTGGGAAACAGATTTTCAACGGCATATCTATATATGTTCAACAATACGTACTAGTATTGACATGCACAGCCATATTGACAAACTGGAATTAATTGAATGAGCTTATTTATGCGTATAACTGATGTTATCGATATATTTATCTTCTCGTATAGGTGTCGTAAAAAAGATGGATGCTGTTTTAAAGGTTGTGCTTAACAGAACAAGAAGAGCAATTTATACAAAGCGGATCTCTTAAATTGTTTAATGTTATAATCTTCGCATCTTTATAGTCGTTATCATTGCAGTTCGCTATTGTATTCACTTTTATCATCACAACATTCCCTTTAAACAGCTTCCAAATCCTTTCCGCGATACTCGACGCGCGTAAGCTGAGCTCGGAAGTTCATGTGCGTATTTTCGCGATGGAGCCTAAGCGCGGTTGTAATCCAAAGTCAAGTCTCAGATGCATATAGTGAAAAATAAATATTTGATGTGTCTCCCTTTTATGCTTGATCAGCTAAACATTTCGTACACGCTTTTGTCACACAGCGTCACTGCCCGAGATTAAGTAGCGGGGCATTTGATATTTCCCCCCCGTGTAACACCGTATCTCACAGTTGTCGTGATTTCATACATCTCGGCACGAAGAATTCTATAGAAGGATGTATATTCAGTTCGCCAGGAACTTCTCGTGTCTCATTTGTGAGGTTTCGCCTCTTACTCTTGTATACTCATTCGGTGGTTCTGCAAAATATCGTCCGGGTGATCCTATTTTTTTCTGGCAAACGCCTCGGTACGTTGTACAATCTTATATGAAATAACCGGATGCGAGTTTGTATTCGAGCAGCGAGCAACAATATACACTTGGTATACTATAAATAGATAGCATAATAAAAAGTGAGAATATAATAAATGAATGGACCTGTACAGAAGTCTATTGTATTGATTACTATTGGTAACTCACGTTTACGCATTTTTGATTCTCGTCATTACAAATAAATTATTTTAAATGAAATACGAATGTTTTGCGTATTACGAGAATTGCCAACATCCCTCTTGTAATTTTAATCTACTGAAATGGCAGAATAAATGTAGATAAAATTAATCATACCACTGGAACATACAATACATTAGTATTTATCTGAAGTATTAGAAAACAAAAATTCAAAATTTTAATGAAAATCTTACAAATTTTTTTTAGTTTTGATAATTAAGTTTTTATCATATTGTAAGTATGTATCGTAGTTGAAAGATTTTCTCTGTTTTATGATATACGGTTTCTTTCCTTAATTATGTTATTGTACAAATATAAAAGATTTTCTTTAGGATTAGCTTAAAAGGTTTCAGACTTACTTTTTTTTCTGCCATATAGATTGAAAAATTTATAAAAAAATGTTCTTTATTTACACTGTAAACACACTATACCTGTTCACTTTACAAAATATATTCATTAATGTTTTAATAAAATTAGCTTTGTTATTATATAAATTAATAACAGTAACATCACATTTCATATTTTTGAGTAGCTTCGCGAAGAATCATGTCAGTTCTTTTATGTACAACTAATTCTATGAAAGCTAACGCTATCAATAATGACCAACCAATCTGTTCTTGACAAACAGAACTTTGTGTGTTATACATGTTTCTTAATTCTGTTCTTATTAACACTTTTGGTTCCTTTGTTTTTATCGGTTCTTCGCTTTCCTGCAGTAGCTTTTGTAGCATGTATTGTGTCGAAATCGTCTCGTTGTCTATTATAAGTCCATAGATTTTCCGTAATACATGCGGCCGAAGTATACAGATGTTGTTTGTCACAAACTCTGTAGTATCTGAAAAACATATATTACAATAAAATATCTATATTAAGTGTTTCTTTCGTACAATATATGACAAAAATACCAGCACAATGACAAAGACACTTGTTTTTTCGAATTAACAATTGCAGAAATCTTTATATTTAAGACTAATTGACCTTCAACTGCTATTAAATTTATACTGTCATAAAACAATAATATAAATTAAAAAAGAATATTGTTTTTTAGTCGACAATCAATTTTTATTTCTCTTCATGAAAAATCATTCTTCTAAATAATTAAGTACTGTAATTCAATATGCTGGATAAAGTACAATTTTCATATTTCACATTTCAACATACCATTAAATTTACTATTAACCATTGTCAGGTGTGACAAAATAATAGTGGCCATTATAGATTGTTGTACAAAGTTCTGATAAAACTGAGTGTTTTGTATACGGCCCATATCGCTACCAGTCTCTTGCATTATGTACCGATCAGCCTTTGGTAATTTTTTAGCAATTGGTAGTGTCTAAAAAAATATATCTATTCAATTTTTGACATCTAAAAACCAATAGGTTTATTTTACAAAGTGAATGATAAAAACTTTTCACAATGCGCTTTAATATTTACTGCTTGAAGTAAAGAATGAATATTTTCTTTTTTGTCTGTTCGTGGAAAAGATTTATAGCTCCACTGTAATACTTCACAATTACGATTTAATAATGACCAACTTATGATGTTATGTCCTATGTATATGCCTAATACTGTGTTGATATTCTGTAACATATAAAAAATGGAATTGAACAGAAATGCATAAACACAAGAAAGCTAGTAATTTTTTTTTTATATATAACTTTATATTTTACTTTATATTTTATAATTTATATAATTCTTTAACTAAAAAATTAAGAAGAGTATTATTCCTTGTACTTTATAATTATATCCAGTACTTTGTGGAGTTACAACTAAGCCTGACATAATCTTCTTAGGATTTTTCCTTTTCTTGCCACATATGATTGATTTGTAAAAATTATATGTACATTTGTTATTCATACTCTGTACTTGTAACAGATCATCCAATGATTTAAATGGTCCATTAGTTTCACGATACGATTCTAATTTTTGTGCACGCTGTTTAGTAATGGAATACCTTTGCAAAAATGAGTTTAATGATAAATGCACAATCAAAAATTTATAATACATCATTGTGTGTAAGAACAAGAACTTTTTTTACATAAATAACTAACTCACTGTAATAAATCTTCTATGGTTTTGTTATTTATTACTTGGAGTATTTTCTCTTTATCTTCTGAAGAGAGAAGGTTTATATTAAAAGTGTCAGTGCACATGCTTGTTTTAAAAACAGCAGTTGTATTTAGTATCCAATTCTTATAGATCTGTAACCGAAAAAATAAAACAGAATTTTTAAAACTCTAAAAAAAAGTATCTAAAACTTTTTGTGAGGTTATAGAAATAAAAAAATACATAAATTTAGTTTACATTAGAGATATTGTTATAAAATCATCTCTTATATAAGGTAATAAGCCTAATTTCATTGATTTTTGAGCTGCGGGACCTATTCTGTATAATTTTACCATTTAAAATTACTAATCATATATTTAAAATTACTAACCTAAAATTATTAACTGAAAAAAGTTTATACAATATAAAATCTTACCTCCCTTTGCAGTTTTTGATTTTTAATAATTGTACCAAAAAGTCTCGAGAGTTTTATATTCCACATTTTATTGTGAAATTATCGTAAGGTATATTTGTTTCACTTCAACTTATTGGCTTATTGCCCGTTTATTGCACCGTGTGTATAGGTATAGTTCAGACAGTGCAGGAACAAAAAACAGACCTACCCATATCTTGTTCTAACATGGGTTGGGTTGGAAACACAGAGAATTTTGCTACTTTGAGTTGGTTATACTGCATTCAGCTGACTAACAGAAAATTCAAACTCCTTTCAGATTCAGATTCTCGAAGTTCACAATCATAAGTTCAACGAGAGCCAAGCGAGAAGTCAGAATCATCGTTGGCATCAGACACGCACGGCGCATTGTTGGGCAACGAGACACGTTAGCCTCCACAGCTACAAGCGGGTTGGAAATCGCATCACTGCCTCTGACTGCCTCGCGAATAATTATGCAGCAAGTCAAAGATCGTTGTAGATCGTTGAGTAACCCGCCGGTAAGAATATCTGCGATTGAACGGGATGACAAAAGCCTTACTCGAACCGATCAGAAAAAGATATTGGGAAAATCAAAAGGAACAGGTGAAGCCTCTCATATTCCCAGACCTCGTTTTAGAAGCTCTTCCAGCGACCGAGCAGGATCACTCGGCAGAAAATCGTATTTAAAAATTACAGGTAAAGCGTCGCATGTAAATTGAAAATTCCTATCTTTTCCAATTATTTAAGGTTTTACAGAGAGATACATAATAAGTTTGTTCGCGTTGCCTGAAATCCTTAAAAATGTTTGCATTTAAAACAGGATAAATAGGTGTTTAAAAAAAAGAGAATAAAGGGCAAAAAGTGCAAGCAACGCAAATAGACTTATATTTATATAGTTGCGTTCAGTAGAAAAAAAAACAGTTTTGTAAACTGTTGTAAAATTCTTTAATGATTAGTCTTGCTTTTAGTTTCTCACTGAATCTAAATGTATAAAATCAAAAACCATATTCTCAAGAATTGTTTACAATAGTTGCAAAACTGCCTTTTGAATGCAGCCAATTGGAGACCTCTGTCGGAAACGAACTTCCTTATGCTGAAATTAAAATACCAAATAATTGCAATATTCGCAATCAAGAAAATCGCTTGAAAAGGCTTTTTTCTTTTTTTTTTTAAAGAAAAATTTGTTTTGACATCTTATTCGATGTATGTATGTACATACAATTATAGTACAGTTGAAGTGCAGATAATTTTACTTATGATGTTTTAAAAACCAAATTGCAAAATATGGCTTCATAACTTTGTAGTTTTAAATTAAAAAAAAAAAAGTAAAAAGTTTTCATAATGCAATATTACTTCTAGAACATAAAATATCATCAGCATAAAGACATGTATCTGTATCGTGAGGAATTTTATTTATTATAATACATTTAAAAGCGAAATTACAAATCTGTTCGTTAACAAGCTTCATAGCTTCGTAAAAAGATTCATAACAAAATACTTCTACGATAGAATATATAATAGCAGATATCTTTATCACGCAAATGAAATGTAAATGAATTGGTTTGTCACTCCTGTCAACAATTCTTACTTTAACCAGTACAGAATAGTGTTTTTAACAAAACCACAGATTTAATTTAAAGTAAAAGAATTAATGGTCTTAAAACTTAATAAATTAAAATAATGAAGATGAAAATTAGATAATCACATTTTCTTTGTACTTGTTTCATAGTTGTATCATTATACAATATTTATTTTCATCTTATTTCTATTTTGTTTATCTTGTACAATAAGTTGTGACTTGATCATTGCACTGAGGATCTTACTATTGTTCGAAATGTTTACAAAATCAATTTTATAAAGGAATATATATTTTATAAAGGAATATAACAATTTTATAACAGAATATAATTATTAGCATGAAAAATTAGGCTCATTAATTTGCACCTTTTGTGATTTAATTTAATTGATTTAATTCATATTTTTATTTAAAGCTTATATTTTCTACTTATATACGTATGTATGGGTGTTTATAGGAAGAACTCCACTACGTCAACCAACAACTCCAATCACTCCAGCAAGAGTTTCCACTAAGCTTAATGTACCAAGCACAGTACTTACAGCGAGTTCTAGCAGGCATGTGTCAACAACAATGGGTCGATCGCCGTCTGGTGACCGTGCTAGCACCGTGGGTACTAAAGGTCCTAGAAAGGACACAAGACCCTTAACAGATAAGAATTATCAGACAGTCCTGCTAAACAAAATAGATAATTTCTTTTATATAAATCAACATTCAACGATGCTAAACAGCAATGGCAGTTTGAAACCGATTACATTGAAGATGTTTGTAGAAGTTTCTGGTTTCCTATTGAAGTATCTTGATGTCAAACATGATCTCATGATGACAAATTATATAGACGAATTACCGAAATGTGCAAAAAAGCTACATTATCCTGGTGTGATGACCAAATCATGGTTGAAAACTGCTAATGCAATGCATTCATGGCCCTATGTTCTCGGTTGGATCGGTTGGTTAGTAGAAGCATGCCAAGTGAAAGAAATCGCGTTTAATAAATATCAACTAGTAACTTTGCCGTTCGTAGGAACGGAACAGCAGGCTCAAAGTTACAAAATGGAGTTTGAAGCACTGTTGGAGTGTTACAAAGCTTGGAACGACGAAAAACTCGATGAAGAAGCAGAACTGTGGGAACGATATCTGCAAAATGTTTTAGTTCAGCAAGGCATTACTGATGATGATATAGCTCAGGCACAAAAAGAATTAGAAGAAGAAGAAATAAAGTTACAAATGCATGAAGAAGAATCACAGAAACTTGATGAAAAAATTGAATATTTAAAACAGAAGTTAGCGTCTTTGCATGCCAAGAAGTCTCAACATTTAAACAATATTAAAACTAAGGAAGATTATATAAAGAAGGTTTCCGCTGAGACAGATCAATTAAATGCAGAACGCAAAGTTTTAAAGGAACAAATTCAGATAGGAAATGTACAATACGAAGAATTAATCGCAATTGTGAAAAATCAACCAATGTCTAAGACTGAAAAAGAAAATATTGTTAAAAAATGTACAGAGATTCAAAACTACATACACCAATTTGATGAGCATTTGAAAGATTACCAAAAGGAATCATACACATTAGATATCAAATTAGCGACTTTCGTTAATAATCTCAATAAAGCAATATTAGAATATAATAAGGAAGTCTTTATGCATATTGATAACGACGTTGGTGTAGATTTCGATGAATTAAAGCTTCCAGAAAAAGGATTACTAGAGCCACAGATAATACATGTAATGCAAGAAAAGGTCACTTTGATAAAAACATTCAAAGAAATATTAATGAAGCAATGCATTGAGACAGAATCTCTTATTCGTTCTGACACTGTAAAATTGGAAAAACTGAAAGAAGAAATTAAATCTTTGCCAGATGAAAGCAAATTGAAGGATGAAATATCTCACATTAATAAAATGAAAACAGATGCAAAAAAGAAGAAAGTCGAACATACAAAACACATAGAAGACCTGAAAAACGAAATTAAAGAAATGCAAGACATGATGCCAGATATACAAGCGGTAGACTTCGAAATAGAAGAGGCACGAGACAAATTAGATGCAGTCATAAGAAGACGAACGTTTTTAGAAAAAGCTGCCAAAAAATTTTTAGAAGATCTTTATAAAATTATCGGCGAACACAGAGGAGAGCTTTATAATATTATAACAAAAGACAGAACAAAATAGAACATGTCTACGGGTGCGTTCCGTTTCATACATGATGCACATAATGTATCATTTATCTTTGTTGTCCACCAAATGTTAAACAAGGATAATTGATGTATTATGCGCAGCATGCGCGAAATGGAACGCATATGTATAAATATTTTTATAATAACATATTCATCCTTATATCGTATTATTTGCTTTACAATCTTAATACATATCATACTGTATTATATGGCATCAGTTGTATTATTAAAATATAATATATATACAAAAATGTTTATTTCAAATAAAAGATTTTATAAATATGTTTTCATATATCGCAGGACTTTTATGCGCATGTCATTATGTACAAATAAAATAGATACACATTCTTATCTTATCTGTTTCTTTTTTAATTTTTTTTACAAAATGATGCAAATTCTAGTATGTAAAATATTTTTATTCTATTAGTTCTATATGTCATGACAATATGTAACTCGCATTTTCTTTTTTCTTTTTTCAAGTTTTAACATCCTCTGATAAGTTAGACAGTTGAAACAAAACATCCCTTTTAACTCCACATGTACATGCTATATTAATAATTCATGAATAACAAAAAAGATATTTAACGAACACTATATATACTACATATAAGACATTACATTTAAATAAAACATTCGCCTTTCGAAAATTAATTATATTTCGCAACTCGTTTCGTTCTTAAATATCACGAATAATTGATCTACTTGAGGAGTAACTTTTTAATTGATTTTCTATGTAATTTTTTGTCGACAATATTTATATAAAAAATGTTAAAATAAGTTCTGTTTGAAAAACAGACATATAAGAAATAGGAAATCATCGAACTAAATATTGAAATGTGTAATATATATTTATATTATAATTAGCTATTTACTATAAATATTATGTTTTTTATCGATGATCAAATTATAATCCATCTGATCTTTTAGAAGTCACTCCTCAATTATGCTTGAATGTTGTCATTTAAACTATAGCTAGGTCCCGACTGCCATCTTTATCTTATTTTAATATATACATATGTGTATATGAAATGTAGTAATCGGTGTGCGATGTTAATTAAAATGCATTGAGATATTTAATGTAATTGGTTTTAAAGAATTTGCAATTCTTAGTTTATTTTAAAAACAAATTTTTTAATAATTAATATATATATATCCAATGTTTTTCATTAGCTTTACATAAGACAAAATTAACAAACAGAAGGATTTAATTTATTTCGTATATTTGTGTGTAATTCTCAAAATTACGGACTATATGGATTAAAATGATACTTAACAACATGATAATATTGTATTAACTTTTATATGTATAAAAATACGAGATATATGTATATTAATTTTATCTTATGTTGAGCTTTTTATTGTATATCGCCTTATTTTTATATAACGTTTATGTCATATGCTATATCAATCTTTTTACTTCTTATTTAAAGAAGAACTAGCTTATGTGTACATGCATTTACTTCATAGATTCTTTTTTTGCACGATTGATGAACTTCCGCAAACTACTACCAGATAGCTATGAGATCACACAGTTGTATACATACTGTGAAAGTGTATCCTATTGTTGACTATTGCGAAAGGATTGAGAAAGAGGAAAAGATACATACTATTTGTATTTAAGTGCGATTACAAATAACAATTGATGGATGCATAGATGCTCTAAAGAGCCCACGTAACGTACACGCACATATACACACAATCGTACGAAAAAATAAAAAGTCTTCTACATATATTTAGTAATTAGTTTTTGTACTAATGTTTCGTATGCATTAATGAGTAATTAATACGTTCAATCATATTCGTATGAATAGAATATTCCGAAATTTTCTATAATAAAAAATAAATTTTATACAATTATATACAATAATCAGGGTCGGATTTAGCCGTTTGCCATCTATAAACAAATAGTGCCATTTAAGGAAAAATATCCATTTGTATATGTATATGTGTATATTGGAAGAAAAATGTATTGTAGAAGAGAAAAACTATGGCTAGGTCCACAACCTCGCTTTAAGAGGCCTTAAGCCGTAAAGCCGTAAGAAATTGACAATCCAAATTGTGGCTAATATTAGAAGAGAAAAGAATATTCAATTAAAAAAATAATAATAACTATTAAATATATACAATACTTATATTTTTTATTTGAATTATAATGTGATAAAATTTTATTTACTTTTAGTAATATTTTTTTATTAAAGACAGTTTTGTGAAAAATTTCTGTTCTAGGCCAATGCCTATAGTGCCTACTGATAAATCCAACCCTGATAGTAACACTACCAAAACCGTTGTCAATTTAAGACTTTAGGCAACTAAAAGTTTCATTTTTATCCAAATATTCAAATCTTATTTGGACCGTGAGTTTTTTAATACACGAAATTATATTAGAAGCATCCAAGATCCAGCTTGACCGTAAATGGCTTATTTTCATCGGTATTTATCCAAATATATTTATGACTAATATTATATAAATCATTTTTACAATCCGTATTACGTATAAATATCCGTATTGCCTCCTAATTCTTCGTGTTTATTATTTAAATTTTTTATTATTATACACGCGATTCACTTAGAGTATTTATCATTATTTCGATGCAATCCTAAATTGTAATATAATTTAATAGATTGCTGTTCCACAAACTCTGCATTTTATACTTAGAGATTGTAAAAATCAGTATGCAAAATAGATAACGATCTTTTTGTCATTGTATGTACAATTGGCAAGTTGAACGAGATTTTTTTTTTACTCGTAAATATTAAATGCATCAACTTTTGAATATGTAAATTTAACTCGATTTTTTAAAGTCCAATTAATTCTCATAAGTTCATACTCGTTTATTTACTTTATGGTCTCAACAAATAATTTATTATAAATTCAAGTTGAATAAGCAGATAAAAATCATTCAGAATGTATATGTCAACCAAAAATATTATTTTCACATATGTGTATTTAAAATATGTAAAATCGTGCAATCAGCATTATATGTACCCAGGAATGAATAAAACACATTCATCCATTTTTTAAATTATTATATACTACACGGTCATCACTCAATATGGAAGAGATATTTTTTTGTTCCATCAAACTTGCCTTTTATACTATACAATTAACTGAACAATGTTCAGATTACGAGCGCTCGCATAAATTTATAAGCGCTAATGCACATAACGTATCATATATAACAAAATAATAGATGCTAAATCATAACAATGATTAATTTTATAGGCAAAATTGATCGCCATGATTAAGCATCCAATTAAATATCTGCATTCTCTTGTTATATTGAAATATTTACAAATATTTGAATAGTAAACCATACATAAATTATTTTTATATATACGATTTATATTTTTTATATATTTATCTAAATTAATTTACCCTTATAAATTCGTAATTATGTTTTTGATTCTTGTAATTGTTCCTTTTAATGGTGCTAATTGAGCTATTTACATGACGCGTTCTTTCCATGTTGAAACGCGCATTCGTCACACTTTGATCACTGGTACAATACGGCCTTCGGCGATGTCGATTTAAATACTTTGTCACACATCGATTTGTATATCACTATCTTCCGCTTCACTTTCAGTACTTACCATAGCATCTTCACCCACTAACAAGGCAGCAGGTAAATTCTGTGGTACATTGTCAATGTCTAGTCTCGGAGTAGAATACACATTTAATACTTGTATCGTTGTAGGAGACGTCGAGAGACATTGCGGCACAGATCCTAAAGGATCTCCACCTAACGCGTCACAATCCAAAGAAGTGGACAGTTGTAATTGTAAATTATGAAGTTCAGGTATATGTGGACGGATCTGAAATATGAAAGAATTATATTTAAAACATCTCAAGATAGAATCTCGAATATACAATGAATTTTAATTAAGTAGAAACAATACTTTTAATCCATCTGCTGTATGAGGATTTCTGCAACCCCTACATCTACACTCCACGCAAGGTTTACTTTCGACATAACAAGGACATCTTTGACCACAACACGTAAGTTTCCCAGGTATTGCGGTAGCATTACCACATCTGCATCCTTTTCTTTTACTTCTAGCAGAACTTGATCTTGGCTTTTTAAAACTGCCTGAAGACTGCTTACAACAAAACAAATTACATTATTGTTGATATTCACAAGGAAATATCAGTACAATTAAATATTACAGATCAATGCAGAGGTAGTCTCTCAAAATTAGAAAAAAAAAAATGAATAAATATTTTTTTTTTTTCAAAGACAAACAATAAACATCTGCATTAATCTTTTTTATGGGACCTAGGTGAACGTAAGTCAAGATTTTTCTAAAACTAGTATTAGCATAAAAATAAGAGCGATAAATATACACAGGTTAATTAAGCTCAACTATTGTTAATAGATGTAAGTCAGAAAAATTATTGTACCTTACAAGAAGTGTTAACAAAAGACAAACATCTTTAAGCATTTAAATAAAGATTATAGTGCAATATAAATCCTGTAAGGTGTAAGATTAACCGAATATCTATTGAAATTACTTTGCTGCTCTTTGAAGATTTTTTCTCAGAAGGGGTCCCATATTTAAGGTGGGAAGACGGAATGCATTTTACCCCTCCTACAGTGCCATGCTGATTTCCATCTGTCTCCTGTTGTCCCGTGTTTTCTGTGTCTTCCGTAGCTGCCGCTTTCCGTTTTATAGTAATTTTATTACCAGATCCAGCATACATCACGGAATATATGGAGGATCCATTCGATACTGTACGAATCGTTGGCGATTCTAATTTAACAGTAAAAATACAATGAAAATTATTTATTTAATACGTAATATTTGTATTATTATTTATTACTAATATGATTCTCTATGGATATTCATTTGCAAGATCTTGTGACAATATTTATTTTTCGAGGGAATAGTTTTGTTATACATACCAGGTATGTTCTGGGATATTGCTTCAGTGGTCTGGATATTATTCGCCTGTGTCTGAGTGGAGGTAGTACTCGTATAAACGCATGGTAAAATACTATATGCAGATTTGGACAGGCCAGCATTGCTCTTGAACTCATCCTTGAAGCCTGCACCTTCCTGAATAATCTCCATCAGACTGGTAGCACCAATAGTGGATGGCGCGCCATTGGTGGTAGCGTTGTTTGCGGACGTGACGGTGAGCAACAGGGTACGGTAGATCCCGGTACTGGTTAAATACTCGCACAGCTTCTTATAGCACTGCAACAATATCCGCAGTTGCACGTTTTCAATGTACTTGTCATAGTCCTTGCACCAGCCACATGACGGCTTCAGCTTCTTGCGGCCGCCACGACACCCACGGCATACATGATGCTGACAGTTGGTCTCGGTCGGCGTGTGCGGTTCAATCAGCAGATTCGAACAAACGGTACAGCTGAGACTCTGTCGCAGATATGGTACCAATCTGTAGAGATCCGTCCAGGAGTTGGGGTCCTCGGCATCCGCCTGCAGCACCAGACGACACGTCGACACGTACAGGCTCGTCGCGTTCATCGCGTCGCGCGCCACTTCGCGTCCGGATTCATGCGATCCCTCGCCACCCTCTCACCCTTTCACGGTCGTGAAATATCAAACCCCTAAGCCCTAAACTTTACAACCGCCGCCGTACGCTCCGCGCATAACCATCCTCATCGCGCACACAAACAAAACATACGCCATGTTTCGTCGGCGAGTTCGCTACCTCCGCCGCGTTCCCATAGAGAGCGCATCGAGTCTCTTTTTGGCGCGACGTGCATTGACGTCACTGACAGACCAGGGTGAAGTGAGACACGTGTTTTGGAGCGATTGACGTCAAGTCGGATAATTACAGAGGGTGCTTTCCATTTAAATGACTCAAGTTGACATAAGACATAAGTATTCTGTCCTTGTTACTCATAAAAAGCAAAAATAGAACAACATTTATGTTGACTTTTGTTACCAATGCCTATAATTTCTTCACTTCCAGATAAATTGTAGAAAACTTAATCCAGGAGGTATTTCCATTGTATTCTCAGAGATATCTCCTGAATACTGTTATCTAGAGGTAAAGAAATAAATAAAAGGTCTGTCGCATGTTGTTCACATTCAGTGTCTCCACTTTCTCTCTTTTTAACACTCGAACATATATTTATCTCATTTTAACACTAAACCTACCATATGACCTGTCATATGACCGTTTTTTATTTTTGACAATTTTAAATAAGCAAATATATATATGTATATATAAAATATACATTTAGAATAAAATTTTCTTCGCGCGTTTTCACTTTATAATTTTTTCTTCTTTATCATTGAGATTAAAAAGAAAACACGTAAAGTGTTAGCTAATAAAAAATGCAATATATTTATATAATAATGTTGAATGAATATATTTTAAGTAAATATTATTTTAAGGAAAAAAAGAAAATATTCAAAAAAGAACTACTTTCTAGGACTATTGCACCATACCTATTTCAGCCCGTTATCGAAGAGATAAAAATTAACTCATTATTTCTCATTATATATGTGTAGGTTATAATTACATATCGGAAAAATTTGTATTCTTATCAAACAATATATATAGGTATAATATGCGAGAGTTTAAATATGGCTCAAATCGTAAGAACGAGGAAAAAGTAAAAAATATAAAGCATGAAATATATAAATCAGATGTATATAAAAGAATCAGAATATTATACAATACCATTCATAAATTCAGGAACTTAGCATCTTCTTACTTTTTACATTTTGATCGTATATATAAAATTCTATTGTATATCTCATTCGTGTCAATACTGCCTCGATATATTACGTGTAAGGGGAAAGAAAACCAATATTGTTTGTTATCTGTTTTAATTAGACATTTTTTGTCTCCATAAATTCTACGTATAAACTCAGTTAAGGTGGTCGTCGCTCGCGACTCGCATCCTGTGTGTGAAGAAAAGGGATTTACTTCTATGAAGAAAGAAGAATTATATGGTGTAACACAATCAAGTGAGTTATTTATTATAATTGTATAGTGCCAGCAGGACTCAGGAGGAATGCTTTTTTCTGTCCTTGTATTTTATTACGTTACTGTTTCGCACATTTTGCTTTCATCAACATTACGTTGCCGCCGAGACACTTGATTCGGACTGGACTTTCTCTTAGTTCGTTCATCGAGAAATGCGGTATCATTGCAGATGAGATTAAATTTGCATTAAAACATATATTCTAACGCAACAAATTTTAAACTATGGTAGATAGTTTAAATCTGACTATATAGGTAAATATGATTAAAATTAGCTTTGTGATAGATATTAGCGAAATAATTCTTATGAAATTATTAAAAATAATAATTATATATATATTACCGTAATAAAATTATCAATATTAGGCAAATATATATATGTATATATATTAGAAAATATTACATGTTATGTATACATATATATATATAATTTTATATTAATTTAATCTTGGGATTTTTTTATTAATCTTTAAACTATTCTGTGCTTATTTCTTGTGTTAAACATTAGAATTAAAGAATACAGACACTAAATGAAAAGTCCATTACTAATGAACGGCACGAAACGCGTGTTACTTTAATATATTACTTTATCTACACGTATTCTGATAAGATACATTATAAAATAAAATTTTTTCCACTATAAAACTTTACTTAATCATATCTAATAACGCCAATAACAGTGGAAACTAAAGTAAACTAAAAGTAGAACGGAAAAAAATTTCAAGAGATTATAGATAGATTAACTAAAATTAGCTTTTCGATATCAACAAAACTAGGACGATATGTCTTTATAATAAAGAATCTTATAAAATTATTAAGAATAATTATATCAATTAGCGTAATAAAATTATAAAATATTTATGTCAAATATTTACAATTTTATTACACGATGAGAACTTCAAGGAATAACAAATTTCAAAACTATTAGAAACTATTTTATTTTCTATTCCTGTTACCTGCAATGTACTTTTCAATCGTGAGTCTTCAGACTTTATAACGACAGTTTTGTTCTCATGATATTATTGTTGTGCAATTTTTTTGCTATGCATACCTGTATAATTTACACAATGACAATATAATGATACTGATACTATCGATAAGAGTTACAGAATACAAACAAACCATTTAATATTTTGAGTATGAAAAGAAACGTAATTATAAAATAATTTTTGTTGTCACATATAGATTAATCATAATCGTATATGATGCAATTAGTATATGAGACTTTCTTCTTTAAAATAATAATAATTTTTATAATATTTTTAATTATGAAGCACCTACACGTGTTATTTAATAAATATACAAATAGAAATATTATGGATCACCGGTAACCCACACGACGCGTGGTGTCATAAGTTATTAAAAATTAGCTTGGTACAAAACGTGTTCGAAATATAAATAATATATTAAATATTTTAATATATAAGGGAATAAGATAAAAAAAATGTGTTTCACATATATTACAGTTTGAAACAAATATAACGCAACAATTATATTTGTATATATAGTGTACATACATTACATTAATTGTAAGATATACTCACATTTCAGGTTCTATATTCCGCTTGCGTATGACGATTTGACGCAAATGCTAGATATAAATTATTATAAAATCATATATAAGAATTAATACTTTATAAGAATCACATGACGATATGCAGTGACGTGTAACGATTAATATTGTATACATTAATACGGAAAATTGAGGAAAATAATCACATTGATACGCACGTATGTTGATCCGTTTCATAACGTTTCTATACATATCTACACACGTCTCATATTCATCTCTGCTTTCCATGGCCCTTGGATTTTGCGGCCATGGCCCATCGTGCAGATGGTTAGTTGGGTAAGACCACCTCGTATAATGTATAGATAATTTGCCTCTTGCTCTCACGATGCTCCCGCGTCTTACGTTCATCAATTTGTCGTTATTCCTTACGCGTTCATCACGCGACCTTCGCAATCAGGCCCGTTCCAAATTATGTAATATGCACATCTTTTTCTCTCACTCTTACGACGTTTTTATCTACAGAGTTTAATCCGTAAAGAATCCGGTCTCTTTTAACTATGCTTTATATATATTCTTGTAAGAGAATATATTCAAGGTAATCGTAATACGTAACGCAGAAATCAGCATTTCTTATTGTCTATGTAGAGCTGTCAAGAAACAATGGCAAATCGAATAATATTCTTCGACAAACTATTGAAAAAAATTATTAATTAATTTGTAACAGACAAAATTATTGATGATAATCGATACAAGAATTTGTAAATAAAATCAATAAAAATTGCTCGCTTACGTCATGAATTATAATACATGGATTACGATGAACAAACTAGGAAGTTCTTGTAAAATTATCCAACATCATCAATTGACGCGAGCTGGCAACTACCGGTTACCCATTTGGCGTTGACCTGACTGAACGGGGAATTCCCTTCGAAACCTGTTTTATGGGATTCTTGCCAAAGAAATAAAAGCTGATGTCCATACTGATTTGAACTGCCTTATTTATAAAAACTGTGCCAAATAAAAACATTATCTGACTTATAATGTGGCATGCTCCCCTTTTTACTTCCGTCTTCATTCCATTGATTTGGAATTTGTATATTATGTTCATACATATATTATACATATATTTCAGTATAAGAATTAATATACTTTTACAAATATATGCACAAAGATTTAAAAACATATAATTGACATAAAAAATCTTAACAAAATTTTCATCTTGAAAACATCTATTAATCATATCTTATCTCAAAAAATTATGTGCATATAAAGTACATCATCAGTGGAATTTAGTTATTGTTAGTGTCAGAAGTTTACGCTTAAGATACGAATGTCGTCGTATTGCCTTTCAAAACTTACATTATTTTATATATAAAATTATCCTAGTAAATTATCCTAGAATCGCCAAACGGAAATTAATTATATTAAATATGTTAATAAGAATTGTCTTTAATATTATAATACGCATAAACATTTATATTGTATGTATAATAAGTAAATAAAAATATAGTAAAAGTAATAAAGCTCAATGTTTAATAAAATTTAATAAAAATAAATCTTTAATATTTAATACTTTAAGAAACATTTTGAGATCTCCGTTTTCTAATATTTTTAACATATACCAGTAATTATCCTAGTAAATTATCCTAGAATCGCCAAACGGAAGTTAATTATATTAAATATGTTAATAAGAATTGTTTTTAATATTACATAAATAATTTACGCATAAACATTTATATTGTATGTATAATAAGTAAATAAAAATATAGTAAAAGTAAAGCTCAATGTTTAATAAAATTTAATAAAAATAAATCTTTAATATTTAATACTTTAAGAAACATTTTGAGATCTCCGTTTTCTAATATTTTTAACATATACCAGTGTTATGTTCATGGTCATAAGTAATTACAGATTATCTTCAATCTTTTGGTTGAAGATTAACATATCAATTATATTTCGCGAATCTCGTTAAAAATTCACAATGTATCATATGAAGTCAGCAAAATGGATGCGTCATTTCTTTCTTGTTTATCCATTTTTTATATGATTTATGTTCGTTTTTACCAATACAGTTCAATTTTAATCTCAGTTTAATTAACTCTTCATCTTTTTCTAGTTTTAAGAATTAGACAAAGATGAAGTGTAATAATTGATCCTAATTAAAGTCTGAGAAACGAGTATTGGTCCGATTAGCAAGTATTTTAAATTCATAAAAAATTCCTTATCAATTGTAAGGAAGCGTTTAAAAAATACATGTATATTTGCATTTCACTTCCTATTTGCGATTATATAAGCTGCTCGATTGGCATTGTAAGTATCCATGGTGTGATATTACGTAATTGCGTCATCAATTAATTGAGCATATGCTTGCGTATATATATTGGAGCAATCGCACATACGTTTACCTGTGTTACACGTGCTTCGTTTTTGCGGATCACGGAAGCAATAATGAGTGATACACGATACGTGCAATTGATAATATACGTCTGTTTCATGGTTTATTTTACACTTAATAGATTCTAATGTGCAGTATATACAATAATATATACATATATGTGTCTGTGTTTATGTATGGTAATATATATATGTATATATAGATCAATCCTAGGAACTTACTCTTGGTTAATTAATTACATTGACAAGATCAGAATTCATTATAGATAATATCGATAAATCACGTCATTTCGACATGCGCAATAAAACGTGAGAATGTCTGATACGCTTCACGTGTCTCAAGAAAGATACATGTGTCTACACGTACCTTGAAGAAAAGATATCAATTTCGTGCATAAATGAATTACAGGACAAACGCAGAATTGAATATAATCTGTTTCGTAATACATTTTTATCAGTTGTTATTAAAAATCTGCAAATTGTTTCGCTATAATATTTCAGATGGATTCTTCTGCTATCGTCAAGATAATAACGCTTGCTAAGAGTAGACTACCTGCTTCAATTCAAAACTGCTGCAAACAAATTATATAGCAAAACTTTTTTTACTTCTTTATCGAAAGAGTTTTATCTTCCTCTGATTTATTTAAAAGAGTCTTTCTATCATATACATATATGATATTGAAAAGTATGTGCTCTGCAAGGAATATTCTATAACGCACTTTTAACGGGAGGAAGAAGCGGACTAAATAATGTGTAATTATAAATTAATATCATGTGCTGTAATTGAGATGGAAAAATCACGACATATATCCAAATCTGGAATTTGCGAAACCGACACCTTACTTATCGCATTTGTCGGGTATTAAGTCTGATTCCGTCAAAGATAACAACGATTTTTCATTTCAAATTAAACACGTAGCATGCCGTGTGTTTTATGTTCACGAATAAGTGCATGCATTACAAGTCAAGTTTTCAAACCGCATAACTCGACGTTGCTTCTCCTCTTTTTTTTCTCTTCTTTCTCTTCCTCCTTCTTTTCCTTTTTCTTCTTGTGTTGTATATATGTATTATAATGCGTCAAAGTGCTGATGGTGGACAAACCATAAATATAATGTGACGTCAGTCGACAAAATAAATCAGTCTACGAGTATCAACCATCATACTTATGAAATAACCACAATAGAATTATCGAGCCACGAATTTGAAACTGGAAGGGACAATGTCATATAGCTGATAATCTTCATCTAATTTCGAAAGAATCAAAATTTATACTGTGCAATAAAGAAAGTGAAATTAATTATAAATATCGTAAGTTTAGCGTTTTATTTGTTTTCTATCATAAAACTTCGTAAATACGTTTGATATAGAGTATTCTTGTGCAAAAATTTTATCGCATTGAAAGATTTTAAAGTAAATCGAACAAATTAAATCAATTAAATGAATTTATCACGACAGTAATATTTAAATTATATATAAGAAATGATAACGTTACACAATTTCTTTTGAATTTTTATAAATTACTTTATATTTATATTTATATAATCATTCAGATGTATGGGCGCGTTATACAAAATATATCTTTGTAACTTATATTGACCATCAGATTTGTTATCTCATTTTGAAAAAATATTTCACTTTTAATTACATGATGTATATACAAATCGTTTGTCGATAAAAGATGACTCAAATCTTGTTTTTAGAGATCATATTTTTATGTGATACTATTGTTAAAATGATTACAATCCTTTCTTTACGTTAAGCTTATACAAATATTTATATATACGAATATTTACATAAAATAACTTTAAGTATATCACATAAAATTGTTGATTGCATTGCTTAGATTTGTAAAAACTCATACATTTATATTTATAAATATTTTATTGTTTATTAAAGATATGATTAAAATGGAAAATTAATTTTAATATTACGTTTTTATGAATTTCAAGAAGAAAAGATATTTTTTATTTAAATAATTTATTCTTCTAAAAAAAAAAATTCGGAAAAAATTGATTATTTTTTAATCTCTTTATAATTGTATATCTCCGTATAATTAAACTCTAATTACAATTCGAGTAAATAAGTTCATACGAAACTAACTGAAAAATCTGACTTTATTATTGTTTATATAGTTTAGTTCGCCGAAAGTTTGTCTTATTTTCAGTTATTATAATCATTGTAAAAACGTCTCCATTAATTTCCTATTAGAAGGTATAAATATAATCGGGGTATACTAATCTTTATTTCACTTATATTCCGTCTTATAATTACAACTATAATCGTATACTCGTGTATATTGACCAACGAGCTTCAGATAATAAGTGGAAAGTCCACTGACGAATTCACTTTCGGGAAAAACTGAACAGCGTACACATTACATATAGTTATTAATTACGAATTGATTAACAGACCTCAGGTAAAGCAAGTTGAAAATTCTAGAAAAAAGAAAAAAAATCTGTGAATACCCTACATCATTTTAACGTTATCGTCATCGTGCGTGCGTTTATTATACCTGATCTGGGACTATAGGTGAGGTAGAAGGCCCCTCTCGTGGTGGATACTCTTGTGGGGTACGCACGATCTTTACGGGAGAAGAGAAGACCTCCTGCGGCTCCTATACTATCATATAGAGGAGCGAATGCGCGTGACGCCGGTCCAGTCCTCTGTAAAGCGTCATCCACGTAAAACGTTCGGCGTGTAGTGCATTTCGTGACAAAGACGAGAGAAGAGACGCGGCTTCCGTTCAATGTAAACGCATGCATAGCATGGTGCGTCCGAATCTCGGTCGTGACGAGGAGAGTTGAACGCCCGACGACGCGTATCAAGCATCTTCTGCAATAGTGTGAATTATTTATTCTTGTAAGTATATTAATGCTCGTCATCATCCTGTGATCATTGTAGTGTCTCGAACTATTAATTGTGATTAACGGTGCGATACGGTAAGTGGCATTAATCTGCTTGCATCTTTCCTCTCTCAAAAAAATGATTGGAAGTACAGTATCGTTAAAAAATATTCTGCTTTTGTCGAAACTACATTAATTTAAAGAATATGATATTTGAAAAATATCGACATCTTTCTTGTTTTTTTAATATTAGTGATATTAAATACTTTGTATCGAATACAGCAATTACATATAAAATTTATATGCACTATTTTGATGCGGCAATAATTAGATATCAAAATTATTTTAAACATCAAAAATATTTATTATTTTGATATATTCTGTCTGACTAATATAATCTTAGTTTATTATTATATTTTAAGATTCAATTTCAATGTAAGATTTATAGATATATAATCTTGGCTCAATTTACTCTTTATTGTCTTTAAATTCTTAGAATTAGAAGAAGATAAAGAGTACATTAAACCGAAGTGAATCTTATACATTACTATATTAATAGCGCCAGGCTTCCGAGTAATGTAGATTAAACTATATTCTTGAAATTCCTGGGTATCTCTAATATAATTTCCACTACGAAAATTTAAAGATTTGAGATGATATTGTAACGGAAAAGTTGAATATTATTAATTGTTCTATTAGCATACAAAAAATTCGTACATTTCGTTATTTCGTTAATATCACGTGTGTGTTACAGTACTTCTACATACATTCTCGAGAACTTTTTATTGGACGCTTCTCGATTAATTTCGCGCAATCTCGACTTTAATATAATACAATGCAGGTTTAATGTCACGTTTAATATTAAAGTTCCTCGTATTTCTTATTAAGAGAATATTTACATTAAATAACAAAAAAAAAAATAAACGAAATGTATAATATTATAAAATTAAATCGATAATTCTAAAATTTTGTTTCGCAGATCGTAGTACGTTTCTTGAGCATTCTTTGAATTTTCACTGGCAAGTAGCCAGAGCGGTATTCTAAAAAATTTTTTTTACAAAATCGTCTTCATTATTAATTTAATAATATGAACAATATTAAATTCTAAAGATCGTCAATGTAACAACATAACTAATACGAAGCCTATAACAGTCTAGCTTGGATTTTAGTTGCTTATATATAAAATTTCGTGTGAATTTATATACTGATATATGTAATCTTTCTAAACTGCGCGCCGAACAATTGTCAGTCTTGAAACGCAACTCTAATAAACTATCACAATAATATCACGAATTAAATTGATTAACAATTTAATAATTAATTGATGCTTGTTTGGCATCTTATATCGATGTTAAACTATATTAAAATCTGAAAATAATAATTCTTATTGTGAAAAATATCCAAGCTAAAATCCAAGCTACACTGTTATAGGCTTCGTATTCATATTAATTATGTTATAAATTATTTAAAGATTTTATAAAAATGTATTATATATTATGTTAATTATATTCCGAAAATTAATAACTAAATATAGGTATAAGCATTACATGTGTGTGTGTATGTGTGTG